CCTTGACTTACGATCTTCTTTACCGTATCTCCTCGACTTACCAGCAAGTTCCGTGCTGGCTAATAGGTCGTAAATTGAACTCGCCGTAAGTCGAATCTGTATTTTCGACATCCTTCAAAGTTGGAGTGCATCAGCATGAGAGACAAGGAACCAGCAGTCTGTATACAAATTAGTCAGATCTGTAAAAGGGGTGCACACGCAACACTCAGGTTCTGGAACAGGTCTGCAGTCCAGAAGTGGATGAACAACCAGAACTTTCCGCCAGAGTTTACAGCTGGTGAACGCGAAGAAAAAGAGGAATACCATTATATTCATTCGGACTGAGGTTGCTGAGAGTCCATAATTGGCGGTAGGGTCGACCAGACTGTGGTTGCTGAGATTCCGCTATTGGCGGTAGAGTCGATCAGACTGTGGTTGCTGAGAGTCCACTATTGGCGGTAGAGTCGATCAGACTGTGGTTGCTGAGAGTCCACTATTGGCGGTAGGGTCGACCAGGCTGTGCTCGCTGAGAGTCCACTATTGGCGGTAGGGTCGACCAGACTGTGGTTGCTGAGAGTCCGCGTGGTTGGGGGGGGGGGGGGAGTGGCACGTCCGCTCACCCAGTGTGTTGTTTATGTTATTGTTTAATTAAACAGTAAAAATTGTAATAATGATTATTATTATTATTATTGTTGTTATTATTATTATTATTATTATTATTATCATTATTATTATTGATGGTTATACATTTTCCAGGTCGGCCTGTACTAAGATATAAAGATATGTGCAAACGGGCATAAAATATTGATGTATAGATTCATTAGAACGAAATTCCATAGATGGTGTTGCGTGGGAGGAGGAGGAACTGGGGGGGGGGGGGGGGTGAGGAAGGAAATATGAACAAAGGTAAAGGAAAAGTCGGGAGATGTGAACCTGCGTCATTGCACACGGTTATAAACCATAAGTGCTCTGACGCCAGTACGGACACCTGATAAGAATTGTCCGCCTGTGTCGCCGTTCGCACGTAACTCTGTAGCTACAGCGACGTTCCTCCATTTATCCCAGAGTGTCAACTCTGGTACCCATTTCCTAGAGGCTGGGTGAACCCCGGGATATGAATAAAGGAAAGTGTGATGCAACCACACACACACACACACCCACCCACACACACCCTCACACACACCCACCCACCCACACCCACACACACACACCCACACACTCACACACACCCACCCACCCACACACACACACACACCCACACACACTCACTCACACACACACAAACACTCACACACACACCCACACACACACACACACACACAAGATTCAGAGCTGAAGAAGCACATTGAAAACAACAGAAGGAACAGAAACGGTCCTGGAATCCCACGCTCTAATTATGGAAGACTTTTCTGAACGCCGTCAGGTCTTGCTAGTCACACTCGCCATGGCTATGGGCTGTAAATGACGCGCTCCGTATAGCACACACAGTATGATGTCGCCTGGAAAGACGGAAGGTTGTCAGCAACAACATCGAATCTAAATAATGTACTTAAATTATTATTTAATGTATAAACAAACGCTTATAAGAACATATTTTCTCTTCTTCTTCATTTTTTTCTACTTCTTCCTTGTATGTGTTCACCGGCTGTAAGCTCCGGCGGATAGTCTAGACTGTTCGTCCATCTCGACTTTAGAATGTGCCAGGACCTGAGTTTTGCGTGTACATCCGTTTTACTATCTTATTTGCCCGGCTCTCTAGCGTAGTTGGCTAAAACCGGATTTCGCGGAGACCAGGTGACGTACTCCTTGTGGTCCGGGTTCGATCCCTGGGGTAGGCAGGAAAGCCACATTTTCTCCCAGATTTACGGTATTTACAATGGAATCAAGGCCGAAAGGTTGCGATATCCATAATACCGAGCCTAAGGGTTAACAACTCATGGCTTCTGGATACTAAAACAAACAACAAACATACTATCTTATTTGTGTGCAGTTGGTTGTTCCCCGTCGCTCGGGCAGACGCACTTCGACTTTGAAGAAAGTCCTCAGTTAGTCGACTCCTACGACATGCTTGTGGGAGGCAGTGGGTCTGTTCTTGTTTTCCCCCACAATGGGACCTCGGTACCCACACTGGGAAGAACGTCTTGATGAGGTTAGGGTATTTGCTCCCAAACATTACTGGCTGGGGTTCGGGGAGAAAAGCAGGGTGGGGTTGAGATGGAGTCTCGGATGCGTTAACCTCTAGGTTCTGGTACTTAGGGCAAGGTCTCTCATATTTCAAACAGAGCTGATTTCCTGGTGAAGGTGGTCATCGTCCTCCTCAAAGTCTGCCATCCTCACGGTTGAGGTTCAAACAGAAACAGATCTCCAGCTGCAATGTTACTGACGCCATTGTCTGCAAAAGACAGGAAAGGTCAAGGTAAAGTCGGGAGATGTGAACCAGCGCCATTGCACACGGTTATAAACTATAAGTGCTCTGTCGCCAGTACGGACACCTGATAAGAAACTGTCCGCTTGTGTCGCCGTTCGCATGTAACTCTGTAGCTACAGCGACGTTCTTCTATTTACCACAGTGTCACTCTGGTACCCATTTCGTAGAGGCTGGGTCAACCGCCCGGTTTCGAACACCGACCGTGGCTGTAGTGAGTCGCAGCTGGATTTGAAAGCGAGCCTCCTATCGACTAGGCTAACGCGGCTCTCAAAAGACAGGACATGAAATATATCGGTGAAAGTGTGCTGAGAGATTAAGTCAAAATCTTTCTGATTTGTAGAATGGTGTCATCAAACGGCAACTCTTACATGCTTATTCATTTTCTAATTTCTGCAAGACATCTATATGAGATGTTATTACTGCTCCTAAATAGTTGTAACTTTTAACCAGCTTTAAATTTCTGTCGTTTGCCTGTATTTCCCACTTTGGTATTTCCTGCTTCTTGTTTGCGACCGTTATTTGCCTGTTCTTATTATTTAACTATAAGTCTAGTTTCTCGTTGCGAACTTTTACTGCCTCTACTAAACACTGCTTATGTTACGACATCTTACACTGCCTATGTTTACGATATCTAATACATTGTTTCTTCCAAAATAGAGATGACTAGCAACTAACACAAAGAGTTGAAAGGCGAAACGATCGTCCTAACTCAAGAGATTTTATTTCATGTAGATCAGACTTGTCGCTTGGTTGTACTTCGTTAGAAGAAGAAAACCAGCAAGGAAGCAAAGGAAGAGGAGGAAAAGAAAAAGAAGGTGATATGATTATCAAAAAAGGAGAAACAGGAGGAGAAGAATTAAAAGGAGAAGGAGTAGAAGACGAGTAGTGTCGTAATTTTCCATTTGAGTGCACGCCATTTGTGTATGACAATCAAGTGGAGATAATTCTCAATAATTGTCCATCGGTAATCGTTTTTTGCTGTGTCTGAAATTGAAAATTGTTATTACAAAGTCTTAAAACTGGGAAAGTTTATGGGTAATTCGTTTCTTCTCTGCAAGGTGCCCCGAAACAAAGAAACCATCCCGAAAAGGGATGAAGGGGACCTCACATATCTTCTGCCATTAAATTCATCGACTTTTTATTTCTACGCCGTTTTCTTCCTAATCGTTCTTCCTAATAGCTTACGAGAATGAGAATGGAGGTGGAGGCGGTAACTGTAGCTCTCCGGTGGCTAGAGAACAAGATGCATGTACGAATCGTAATTGTTTCCTACTCTGAAAGCATGTTGAGAAAGTTGAAGACAGGGATGCTTCGAGCAGACTGACATCGTCACTGGGAAGGTCACGGGTAGTGAGCATACTTTGGATTTGTTCTCAGGCTATGCCGACGTGGTGGGGGATGAACGGGCATACAGATTTGCTGGATTTGCAAACAAGTAACGAAGTCAGAAGAGAAAGAAGATTTGTATGGCCTGGAGATAATGATACACGTGGGAATAACCAGAGGGTCTGGTTGGCTCACTATACTCACAGGAAAAGCAAGACGGACATATAACCAGATTACAACAGGCACTATTAGTTTTGGAACCCTGTGCTGGCTGCTGAAGATGAGGACGGAGTGCGCATGGGAATACCCCGAGTGCGGTGACGTCAATTCTTGACTTAGGTAAACTCGACTGTACGTACTTCATATGTTCTTTGACTTCGTTCGTGAAATGAAATGTTAGCTAGCCGAAACAGTTTTCCCCATTGAATGAGCATATAATAGCGTTTTCGGACTTCAAGTTGGACATGAGTTGACGAGCGACAAGAAGAGCTGCGGTGCTTTTCTGCAGCAAGACGGCTTTATAGGGGCCACCGAAAAATTTTAAGAATTCTCAAATCACGGGACGTAGGCTCATGGGACGTAGGCTGAGGCTTTTGGGTGAAAAAAGGAGGTTGGGTTTAGGGCCAGTTCTAGATTTTTTGAGGTCGTTAAAAGAGACATCGAACTGTGAGAGCATCGAACACAAACTACGTGACACCCCTGTAACTTATACTAGCGCGTGTGAAAGGTCAGCGATCATAAATGAACAGCCGGTCACAGTATTTGGGGCGAAAATAGTCAGAAAACCCGAATTTGTTTATAGCACAAAGGTAACTTCCTGTACACAAAGGTCGGAAGATCACACTACCAGATCCATCAGAACACGATCGAGAAATACCTGTCATTTACCTTAAAAACTCATTAGTATCAATTGTGTCCTTTTCCACAGGGGATTACCTTTAACGAGGACTGAGGACATTTACTCTGTACGGCTTTCGCATCTGATGCACTCGTTCACTTCCAGTTCATTTAAAGACGCGGCACCCGAGGCCAGGTCTGCTCCAGATTTTGATCATTCGTTAAATCAGACGTCGGCTGGTCTGTCCAACAATTGTGCCGAGTCTCTTGTTCTCAAGACCGGACACAACCAGGGCAGATGATGGAACGATTTGTTCTTGCTTGGTTGCTGGGGATGTTTGTTGGCTTTTGTCCATGCTGTTTCACTGTCTTTTTTTTTTTTTTTTATCTCTGCCTTTTCCCATTCTGTAGCTCTGTCTTTCCCGCCATGTTATATTTCTGTCTTCCTCACAGGCTGTATATCTGTCTTCCTCACAGGCTGTATCTCGGTCTTTCTCACAGGCTGCATTTCTGTCTTCCTCACATGCTGTATCTCCGTCTTCCTCACATGCTGTATCTCTGTCTTCCTAACAGGCTGTATTTCTGTCTTCTTCACAGGCTGTATCTCTGTCTTCCTCACAGGCTGTGTCTCTGTCTTCCTAACAGGCTGTATTTCTGTCTTCTTCACAGG